TTTTGGGTTTTTTTTTTTTGGTCAAATGGTTTACATTCAATTAAGGGAAAGAAATAAACCCAGCACAAATAAACGCTTGGCAAATGCTGGAGCTTCTGCTTCAATCAATCTTCATCTTGGAGTCATTTCAGGCCAATCATTTTTTAACATCCTCGTGACGTACAGAGCATCAAAATGAACTAACAGTACATGTATAAGTGCCAGACAGCTTGACTCTGTATCAGGTATTGTAAAGATACACATACGGTATGTTTATTAAAGTTGAAATAATGTAAACACGTGAATAAATGTGCAAAACCAAGATCGCAGGACACCATATGCACTCTGAACTTTAATTTTTTTATAAATAATAAAAGTGAATATTGAAGCTTCTTAAAGTTGGTCTTAATTTTTCATAAATGATTTGGGGTTGGAACAGAAATAATATATTAAATCCATAGACAAAAAATTCAACATGAAGTAATTTATAATGTTTCTTATAGGCGTGTAATTATTTGACTATATTTCCAATTCTTATGTGCTTTAGTGTATGTTTAACTTTTTATCTTTCTGGCTGCTACACTTGCTTCCCTCATCCTTCCTCCATCAAATGAACAGACGTACATAGACGGTATTAAAAGGCCTCTACTCACAGCCAATGTGTTTGTGTGTGTGTGGTTTTTAAATCTTGTTCCTTTAGAAGTTCCTACTGGAAAAGGCCTCCCAGTGATCTGGTCTTAGTCATTCATAATTGTGTTTGAATAATTGACTCCATCTGATGAAAACATTAGAGCCTCTATGAAAAAAGATGCAAATATGCATGCAGACATTTTGCACAGTTCCTGAGCTGCCCAGAGTCCATCTATGAACAACTACGTGCATGTTCTCTCGCCTACACGTATCCAGGTCCACATACATACAGGTTCACTCCATCAGGAAACTGAGGTGCTCAGAAGGGGTCAAGTGACACCCCAAGGTCATGCTGACGGACTGACTATAAGAGAACTCATTTTACAACCAGGTTCGTCATTTCTATAAGCACCACCTGCTGCAGAGCCTCAAGGCCCGCCGGGGGTGAGCACTTGGGTCCTCCTCGGGCCTCTCCTGAGGACGTGTTCAGCTCTGCCACGAGTGGGGCTGATACCTAGGAAAATGGCAGCTCCCAGCGCCCCTCCGAGCATCTCATTTCCCAGCATCTCCTTAAGCTTCTTAACTAGTCCCAAGTGTATCCACCATGTCAGGTGGCCACAGAATTATACAATTGCCTGTAATTACCTAGACAAATTCCCCTGGGAACAGGCTGAGAGAGAGCTGGGTCCAAAGACGGCCTCGCACCTGGTGTTTTCTGGGGAACAAGCTCCAGTGATGGCCAGGCTGCTGGTTTTCAAGGCGGTCCGGGAGCTGGAGATGGGATGGGGACGGGGAGATTGAAAACATCACAAGGACACTGTTCATACTGAGATTCAGCCATTTTAACTGGAGTGAACAAACCTCAAGCTGCTATGCGCATTTGGTTAATTGCCAGAATTCTGCAAATGTTGCTTCCGAGAATTTCTGTCAGTTTTCTCATAACTTTAATGGAGGAGAGATGTTTGGAGGTGCTTTTTCACTGACAAAAAGTTACACCATTTTCACTGACAATCACGGATACCTTTTTTGGGGGGAACGTGAATTCATTATCGAACTTTAAGTTTCCGAACTTCCTGGCAATAGATTTATTTTGAAGTACACCCTTCTGAGCTATGTTGAGATATAATAAATTCTAGGATCCTACAATATGACTTACTGATTTATATAAAATCACCATTGTTGCAGTTTCTTTTTCTCACTTTATTCCTCAGGTTTTGTTCCTTTTGCTATATTCTCTAACGTGGGAGGAGAAGAAAAGCCCATGGTGGGTCTGGACACACTCTCTGAAGTGAGGTGCGGAGCTCCAGGTGCAGTAAGCGGCCGGGCCGCCCCGAAAGCCGTGTCAGCAGCAGCCTGACCGTCTGATGTTTGCACAGTCCTCGCTGGGGGTGAGAAGCGGACAAGCAAGGAGCTGGCCGGGGGAGGTGGTGAGTAACGGTGCCTTTTAACAGTATATTTAGTACAGCATGAAAGTTGACAGGCAAATTGTTTCTTCTTTTTCGAATCCATCAGCCGCGTCCAGGGCTCTGTTGTAACGAGGACTCCTCTGTAATTACTACTTCTCTCTTTCAAAGGGGTGTAAGTCTTTCTCAGATAGTGTAATTTTAGAATGAAGTTTATGAAGTTTGCTGTGGAAACTAGAGATACATCCACAGCCTGGCAAACTCTGCTTTGAACCGTGATTCCCAGGGGGACCATCAGTGGTGCCCGTGGTGAGTGATGCTGGGATCTGGGGCGGTGACACAAAGCTGCCTTGTCAGCCTTGCTCTCTGTCTAGGTCACTCTACCTCCACGCTGACAGCTGGACCCGAATTCATTCCAGAAGAAGGTGTCCTCGGCAAAAATGTCACATTTCTGCGTGATTAACACAGGAAGCAAAATGGTGCTTTTAAAAGTCACGATGGCTTTCCAGTTTCAGGTAATGGTGGCCAGTGTCTGCACCACATCACTGAAAACAACAGAGAGAGCTCTGTCCCAATAAAGAACTTCTGAAGGAGGCGTTCGAGATGGTGCAGAGTGGATGCTCAGCGCTAGTCCTGCGGCCCCTAAGACAACACCCACTCTCTCATTCCAGCACTGTCTCCGTAGCTTTCAGTGTTAATTTAAGCCTATAGCTTTTTCTTATTAACTAGCACCCTCTCCCTTTGCTGCAAGGAGCAAAAAAATCTGTATTAAGTAGATCCTTCAAATTAAGACATCCAGACCCTCTCAAGCTCAGTTTCAAAAAGCATGTGACAGAAATATATCAACAAGTTTAAAACCAGCAGAAATAACGAGGGGAAACCCGTGTGTTTGTTAACTTACTCATGTAAAATTTATTAAACACGTAGCTGAGACTCTTGGAAGCCAACAAAGCTACTTTTACGTTTTTCACGTTATTCTTTGTGTATGTTTAGGTTAGTCAGATAATCCTGAATAGATTATTTTAGAAAGTCACTGTAGTATGATGTTTATTCTAGGTATGCAAGTTGTTTCTATGGACTACCTTCGCGTTTTTAGAAAAGAAATCTTTTCTTGAAATGCGATGTCTAACACTGTTTAAAAAGACACTCTCTTGTTTCGAAAGGCATTTTGTTTAGTCCCATTTTAGCATTCCTTTAAAAAGTTTGATGGATGACTCTGGAAATTCAGCCAAGAGTGTTGTATCAAAAACTTGCTTGAATTTATCTAAAAACTCATAGTCGGTGCTGAACCTGAACTTGTTTGCCCAGAGCAGCACGGTCCCCGGCTGGCAGAGGTACACCATGGTGGCCAGCAGCTTGTCGAGGAAGTAGTGGTGGTAGACCACGTCGGAGGCCAGCACGTAGTCGTAATAGAAAGTCGACTTGGGGAAGTTTTGTTCCAGGCTCTCTCCCCAGACCAGCTCCTTCACTTCAGGCAGGTGTGCTGTTCGTCCCAGCGTGTTCTTTAAAAGGTTGTATTGCAGGTTCCCGAGCACGTCAGGCATATCTGTTGCTGTGACTTCAGCTCCTAAGAGAGGAAGAGAGAACTTGGAATAATTACCAGGAAATGTTTGGGCACATTCTTTCAGCGAAGAATAGAACCAGGTTCCTCACCTGGGCTCTGTGGACACACAGGCTGGAAAATTCTTTCTTGTGAGGACCCCACCCTGAGCCCTGTAAGATGTTTAGATCATCCCTGGGCTCCACCCACTAGAATCCAGTCACACCTCCCCTCCCAACCCCCAAGTCGTGACAATCAAAGATGTCCCTAGATGTTGCCAAACATCCTTTGTGAGGCAAAGATCACCTTGGGTTGAGAACCACTGAAATAGACTAATGTTTCTGTCTTTTAACAAACTAAGTTAAACAGCGCGGTTTGGGGAGATTTCAGCATAATTAACTAAAGATACCAAGGTTCTTAGCATTTGCTTAGTGTAATAATTCATGTTTTTCCTTCTAAAATTGTGTTTATCTGAAGATTTTGGTTTTCTCTTACCTGAGGTATCAACACCCAGTTTTCTTTCCCCAAGGGATGGTCTATTTTGTATAATTCTGCCCCCTACTAAATGCATTAGATTAATTTTTAGGCCTTTGAAAGCTAGTGATAAGGGTTCACAAAATCACCCCATTTCCAGATGGGTTTTGATAGAAAAAGATCTGTAACAGTGTCGGCAGAGGTTCCTGCCTCTTGCCCAAGGCCCAGGACTTAACCAGCATTTGGGGTGTAAATCTGTCTTCACCTTGGATTAACTCGCTTATGTTTTTTAAATGTTGGTTATAATAGTTGCAGTGGAAAGCAGGAGACAGTGTAACACCGTTGTTTACAACAGGGATTCAAGAGTCACACCTTCAGAATCTCAGCTTTGTCACACGGTCATCAATGGATTGGATAGGTTACTTAACCCCTCGAAGGTGCGATTATGTTTTCTGGGGTAACAGTGGTAATTCTTGCTCTTGATCAATTTTGGGGAGATTCGGTGAGTGAGATCAGAGCCAAGCACCTAAACTACAGCCTGTCTGTCGTACAGTGAGCACACAGTATCACTGTTGTCACAGTAAACATCTTTCGAAACAAGGTCGCGAATAGACAAACCTAGAATACTGGCCACGATGGAGACAAGGCCTGGCCCAGCACCAATTTCAAGTATTTTAGCATCTTGGAGATTCAGTTCCTCTGTATGTTCCTCCAAATACTGGCACAAAGCTGTGGCCTGAAAAACATCCACAGTTGTCACCTGAACACTGGAGCGATGGAAACCGGTGACCCCGTTCCCCACCGAAAGTTAAATACTGGAAGACATGTTATAGCTTCAGTTTGTTGAGGGGGTTCATAAGAATCAAAGCACCCATGCAACGCTGTATTTGGACCTCTGGAATATGGCAGCTCTAACATCCACCCAAGGAACTAGAGGAACGGACGTTTTAAATCGCCTGCATCAGAAGCCTCTTGATCCAACCCCAGGGAGAGGAAGACGAGACCAGCGCTGACAGAACCAGGAGGGGAGGGCCCAGGACGGCAGCTCTGGTCAAGTCACATCAGGCCTCCACCCGCTTTACGACCGTTTTGCATAAACCCCCACAGCACCTCCCTGCCGACTCCGTCAGCACTCAGGTTGGTTCAGACTTTGCCTGCTACACTGGACAACCATGCAGTCATTTTTGAAAGTGTTTCATCTAAGCCACACTTGACTGGCAGGACAGTGCTTCCCAAACTTGAGTGCGCTGTCAGGTCGCCTGGGGCCTGGGGCAGGAGGTCTGGCGGGGCTCAGCACCGCATTTCTCACAAGCCCCCGGGTGATGCTACCGCGGCTGGTCCAGGGCCCACGCTCTGAGTGGTAGCAAGGAGGTTACATCCTTTACACAGTTAAAAAAAATCATGAATAAATTAAGGGAGATTTTTGTACAGAAAATCAACGTCCCTTTCCTTACTCCTTCATTATCCTCTGCCTCCGCCTCCTGACCTGTCTATGAAAGATGGAGGGTATCTGATCTGCGTGGGGTGTCAGGGGTGGGCCAGCGGGCGTCAGGTAGCAATGTCGCGGCTTCGAGTCTGGGCCGAGTTAGGCCTGAGAGTGTTATGAGCTGGGAATGTGAATACTGAGGTGAAAAAGCCAAATGGACTCTCGAGTTTGCATGTTTCCAGCCTTGCCTTCCCCCCGGATGCTCTAGACTCCTTGCTTCCTATTTAGGACGAGGCCAGAGCAGGGGCGGTGTGGACCATCTGAGCTCTCCCCACGGCCCGAGGCCACTTTCCTTCCTCCTTGTCTGTTCCTACTGAGCAGTCATCTCCTCTCGGGGACCCGAGGAGCAGGGGCCGGGACACGGAAACCGATTCCAGACGGCACCACTGGGAGCTAAGGGGCATACGGAGGCCCCGGAGAGGTGGCCTGGGTGCTGAAGGATGAGCCGGGGGTGACGGCACGAGAGGCGACGCCGCAGGGCAGGGCGGCGGGCTGAGCGGCACGGTGCAGAGCGGCACCAGCCATAGCGGGACCTCTGGAGCTGGGAGCTGAAGTTTGGAGGGAGGAGTTCTTTGGTTCTTGAGGAGAAAGGGTAATTATTCACCGTGTGGGGAGGGTTCATTGTGAGGAAGCATGTCACCCAGAGCCAACCAGACCTGTGCATTGAGAGGCTTTTGAAGGGATGGCTGTAGGCTTCCTTCCTGAAGTGCCCTGGGCCCGTCGGGTGCCACCTGGAGGAGGATCCCCCCTCCCCCAGGAACAGCTGCATCTTTTGGCGTTGCCACCACCGCCCCCTCCCTTTCTAGTCCTATTAGCAAACTCCGAAAAGCACCCTCTGTCAGCTGCTCCTGAAGTCACACACTCTAGAAACCCTTCTGCAGCTCTTAGGAAACCAAGGTCCCAAGAGGGGCCAGGGTTTGGTGCATGAAAGGCTGAGGCCTTATTAAAACAGTCCAGTGGACAAATACTCTTTCTCCATTGCTGATCTCTGAGGCGCTGCTGCAGGTGTCGGTCAGACCCTGCCAGTGGGAAGCCGTGTAGCAGCTTGGGAGTTTCTGACCTGTGACGCCAGAGAAAAACCCTTATCTGGAGGAAATCCTACTTCTGTTAAGCAAAGGGGTAAAGATTGAGCTTCCTTGGGTGGGAACAGGATGGGTGGAGCTGTAAGAGCCTGGGGTCTGAGGCTGGCCCTCCCCTTCTCTGCCCTGCGTCTCCCCTCCCTGGCCACCTAGGAGAGCTCCAAGGAACCCCTGATCACGGCCACCCGATGGACCAGCAGGTCTGCGTCCCCCGGGAGGATGTAAGAAATGCTGCCCAGACCACCCTCCCCCATCCGCAACCTCCTGAGTCAAAATCTGCATTTAACAAGAACCCAAAAGGAGCCGCAACCCTCCCTGCTAACAGCTGAGCAGTTCTGGTCTGAAGCCTCTCCGAGCACCAGCATGAGAACCTCTGTGGTGACAAGAACGAGGGTGCTGGCCCTGAGGGCCACTGTCCTAGCCTGATCCTGCACCATGCCCCAAGTGGAAACAGCACACACAGCCTGAACATAACAGGTTTTCTGGCTCTAAACTCAGGGTTTCCACCCATCGCAGGGCCGTGCTCTTAGGACCGTTGCAGGCAGAACATGAGCTGAAGCACCACTTCCTGAGCGCTTCCACTGGGACCTGCACACCATGCAGCGGGAGTGGCCCAAAGGTGCAGGCTACAGAAGCTAAACTCTCAACACTTTTTTCTGATTTTTTTCTTAATTCATATGAATGTTTCATCCTACTTCCTGATATGTTCAAGGTTATTTTAAAGTAAAAAGTAATGTTTCAAGAAACAGCATAGAGGGAAGTCATCGCTCCTAGGAGAGATGCCGTGTGTCTGCAGGGTCGAAGCACACCAGCAGCCCCCCCCCCCCGGGGCCATCAGTTGACCCTCAACTTGAGAAGCGCGGATGTTAAGGCCCTTGGTGACACAGGTGTACGAGATTGCTGTTATCGTCCCCTGCAATCCTGACGCCCCGACATGGTGGTTCCCTCACCCCCGGCCACACTGCCGCTCCGTAACTCTCTATCGACTCCTGAATGACGATCTTCTTGCCGGCAAACAGGTAGTACTCCTGCGTGTAGCTGGCGTAATTTGCAGGAACGAATTTCAGGAGGCTTTGAAGTGATGGTTCTATCTTGTTAGAATCTGTGGGACAGAAAACAGGTTTCATGATTTGTTGACTCACCACAAATACACGCTTGGCACAGTGAGTAAAAGGGGAACAGGTGGAGCAGTCTTCACGGAGAGGGGGGTGTCCCCAGGACAGTGGCTGCACACTAGTGGGGTGACAGGGACAAAAATTCCTAGGGGACATTTTTATCATATGATGGAATGCCAAAGGGTGCCCTGGGCCCTTCCCTCAATTCGGGAGAAGACAGACATGCGGTGGGCCCATCCCTCCCTCTGTCTGGATGAGAGGAGGAAGCTAGCCGACCGGCAGAATGGCACAGAGGAACCGTCGGCATAAGGGAGACCGAGGCTGGCATGGACCTGACTTATTTTTAGGTCTTGAAGTAACCTTCCCACATGTTGGCTGGAACGTGTTCCTTAAATCCTTCCTACGGCTCCTCAAAAGGTACAGGTCACCCAAAGACAGCCAGCTCCACAGTCGTGGGGGAGGTTGTCAGATGAGCTCCGGCTATTAAGTTACGACTCCTTTAAATACTCCTTTACATGCCTGACCCACTCAAGCCGCTCTCGAATATCATATAAAATGAGAGGAAAAGGGCACCTGATCGGGGCTGACCTCATGCGAGCACAGAACATCACGGGGTTTTGCAGAAGGTTTCAGAGTAAAAGGAACAGTGAGTCAAAAGGTCAGAGTGAGGATGCTGAGAATACGAAGGGGCTGAGGCAGGAAGGGGCGCTGCTGGTACCTGCGGTGGGAGGGCAGCAGCTGCGAGGAGTCTGGGGGAAGCTGCCTGAGACCTGCCTTTGCTGCCCAAGTGATGCCTGGGAAACAGCCAGCCCGGCATGGAATACGGGAGGAGCTTGGATCAGAAACACACACTTGAGGTGGAAGAGGGGTGAATTCAAGCTGAGGGGAGCTTCGGAGAGGCCTAACCAGGACCCACCCTCAGCTTTCGGGCATCACTGATTTCCACCCACACTAGACAGTTCTCCGCCACGGCTCTGCACACCGTTTGTAATGGGGTCCCAGTAAGAAGAGGACAGAAACGTGGAGAAAGCACTTAAGAATCTTGACAACAATTTGACCACGTCTATTGAATCTAATTATGAGAAACCAAAGCTCATATCATGTATGTATTTGCATTTTCATTTTGTTTTTCCAGAAATTCATTTTTGTTCTGTTTTACCAAAGAAAAGTATCAGAATGGTCTCTGACCACAGTGTGAGCAAAGTGGCTGCCGGTGATGCTGGCAGCTCTTGGCCCTGGGTTCTGACCTGGTGTGTTCCAGCCCCAGAAGGAGAATTCTCTGTCCTGACCAAAAAGGCGAGCTTCCAGAGATCTGGAACTTCACCGAACTTTCCAGAACCTGCTGGTGAACAGTGGCCGAGTCAGCCTGAGACATTGTCCTATCCTGTCATGGGCCCCGGTGGAGGCTGTGGGGAGGCCGTTGGGGGTTGGGGGTTGAGGCCTGTGGTCCTCACCTCCTCCTGTAAGGGAAGCTACTGACATCTGACAATGTCAGCCCAACAGAGAGGACCCCGCTCCTCCTGTAGGCTCAGAGGCTGACTCTGAGTTCTGTTTCAGAGACAATGAGAAGGCAGAGGAACAGACCACGACGTGCCGGTAAGCGTTTAATAGCCAGGTTGGGGCGGGCGGTGAGGAAGCCCTGACGTGCAGGGTTCAGCCGTGACCACCATGTAAACGCCATCACCTCTGTGATTTCAAAGGAGCAGCGACCACCCCAGAAGAGGCGCAGTGGCCGCTGGCAGGTAGCATTGCTACCATGGACTCCAGGCCTGTCGGCTGCTTACGAGCACAGATCATCGTCAAATGTAGGGAAATCATTCATGATGAGACGTGAGTGTTGGTTACCTAAGTTTTTACATATACCTTTGCCCTTTACATAACCCATTTCATTGTATGTTTCTATAACGTAAATTTTACCAAAGGCCATGTTTAACAACCAGCTCAAGAAATTGCTGAAATCCACCAGCTGGTGTAGGCCCTCCGGTGCCCGGAGCCCGTGCAGGGCCCTCCTTTCCTCAAGCTGCTCATCACCGGACCACCTACTCCAGCAGCCAGATCATCAGGGACTGAGGCGCCTGCCGGCTTCCTGTCCCTTCGTCTCGCCCAGACCTTTCCTCCTTCCCCGCCTCCTCCCACGTGTCACTAACTGGAGGCTATCTCTTCTCTCAAGACTGTAGGAAAAGCCAGTGGGCTGATTTTAAGTGGCTCATTCTTCCACAGGATGACAGATAATAACTTTCCGGGTCAACATTATAAAGAAACTTGGGCACATAAATTTCCTCCCGTAAGACCTGTTTCTGTGCCGCAGAGATACAGAAATGTATGCTTACTGCACATTACTTTCACTTATTGTATCTATGCTAGCCTGATAGTTCTGGAGAGGTCAGACTTTAGAGATAAGTAGAGTTGAATTTTTATGTAACAATTTAGCAAAAATGAATTACACCCTGATTTAGCAGAGTTGGGACATGATTTTCCCCATTCAATGATTATAAATGCTCTAAACGTGGTATCTTGGCTTTTATGACATCATGTGTTATGGCTGTTATTTCCATACTGCTGAGCCCCTGCCCAGAAACGCAGCCTTCAATGTTTGCCTCGTCAGAATGGGAAAATGCATTTGGCTTTACAAGGAGCCGCTGGGTGACCCAGCAGCCAGGGGTACATTTTGGCCAAAAGTAGAAAGGAACGTAGATTTTGTTTCTTTTTAAAAGTTCTGGCTACAAAAATGTAACTCTTAGATTTATAGCCAGAGTGAAACAAAGTTGTGGACTTTTGATAGGTAAATGATGAAAACAGGGATGACTCTGGGTGCTATGCATATAATAGCCTAAAGGCATTTTTCTACCAAGCTTCACTAGAGGGAAAAATCTAGAGTTACCAGGAAACAGACATCCTTGGCCCCCTAGGCTCCCTGGAAAATGACATCACCAGGAAAAGAACTGAGGTGCTATGGAGGTGAGGAAGGAGGTTACCTCCGGGGGGTCCGCTGCTGCCGTCTGTGTGCAGAGCCTCCTCGTCTGCCTCTGTCTGGCTGTCCGGGGGGCTTGGTCCCTCCTGCAGGTGCCCAGGCTGCTGCTCGGAGCGCAGACACACATCCATGATGGGAGTTGCTGGAGAGGGGAGAAGCGGCCAGGAGCGAGCACTCAGCCAGGCTGTCTGCATCGCCCAGAGCCTCTGCAAGGTGCAGCTTATCGCCTTAGCATCTGCTGAGCCGGAAGGAACACTTGCTTTTCAGCTTAGCTCCCGGGTGAGGAAAGCAGCCACCCCAGAGCTGCCATCCTGGTGTTGCAGAGCAGAGTGGAGGGAGACCATGAGCCATTACCCCACCTGCTCTGTGTGTGCAGAAAGGCAAAATCAGAGCCACCGGAGCCTGAGACCAGCACTGCGTCGCGGTGATCTAAAATGTACTTCCAAGAGCTCTTGGAACTGAATCTTGATAAAGAAGGTCTGATCCAGCCATGCATACCCCTGGAGGTACCTTGCAGACCGCGGGTTAATGACATCATGGGTTTGGCCCCAGTGCAGGGCTGCTCCCTTTCCGTCTGAGGCTTAGAGCAAGATAGTAGAAAGTGCCGGGGGCTGAGAGCCAGGAGGCTGGTTTGGCTTCCCGCTCTGACTCTTGGCAACTCACTTAATCCCCTCCATGCCATTTCCTCATCAGCAAAGGGGGCGGATCATTTCTGCCTACCTCCTAGGACTGTGGCGAGCAGCAGGAGTGCAGAAGTGGTTCTTGCGGCACAGGAAAACTCTGCTGATTCAGAAGAGAGGACCTAGCTCTTGGGCTCATTGATCAGCATCAGACTCATGGCCCCTGACCCGGCTGCAGGGCTCCTCGCGTTGTTGCCAAGCCCCATTCTCGTGCTTTGAGTGCATCGATTCATCTGATCCTCACAGCAAACCCTCTGAAGCAGAAGCTATTATTATGCCTCTTCTCAGATGAGAGACATTCGGGCACAGAGAGATTCAGAAGCAGCCCAGGAGCTCGCAGTTGGCCAGCAGCAGGGCCAGGAGTCCGGTCCAGGAGGTCCAGATGCAGGACCTGCATTCTTGACCACGAGGCGGGACACGGCTTGGTTTCCTGGCTTGGTTTGCCCTGGAATTACTCGTAATGCTTAGTTGTCGCAGTTGTTTTCTAGTCTTTTTTTACAAAATGTAAATAATTTTCCTGATTTGTTTTTACACCCCAGAGTTGCCCCATCATATTGCTTCAGCCAACTGGGGAGCGCCACCAGCCACACCGGCAACACTAGTACGAACTCGTTGACTCTAGTGAGCAGACAGACAAAACACCAGAAAGAGCGCCCGGGTCTTCAGTGAGTGTAATTCCACTCCACGCCTGGAGCGGTTGCGTGTCCCTCACATTCACGTGCAGCAGATTGCACACAAATGGGATTGCTGTGAAAGTAATTCAGCATTTTCACTGGCTCTAGAATCACACAATCAGATGTTTGCTCCTCTTCTCCAGCTCACCAAGGCAGCCAGCAGAGCTCTTCCAGCCCGTGCTCTCTCCTCCCGCAGATGCTTGCTCCTTCTTTTCAACTTCCTCCCAACTCCAGGAAGTTAGTTGTTCCCCCAAAGATAGCTGACTGGTTGGTTGTGGGTACCCAGAGCATCTTCAGGGCAGAAGTCTCAGTGCTGGGCTGAGGGGCCTTCCCCGGAATCTTGGCCGTACGATGTACAATCTTTGTTGAAAATGTGGATAATGGTGATGCCGACGTCACATGACAGTTGTAGGAATTAAGCAAGGTAATTTGTGCAAAGCCTCTCCCACATCCAGCATCAATCGCTACTCTAATGTCCAAAGCTCTCTCCAAAGACATAGTCGGGCAATACAGCACTGGATGCGGGACACCCACCCGGCACCATCGGAGTCTGCACATTGAATTTAAGACATTTCTCCCTTTTGCACTCAAAAACTAGTACTATTTTTGTCCAAATAACAGGTGATATTTTCCTCGTGAAGTGAAATGACCCTCTCCCCATCATTATAGCTGGCATGAGAGATTGTTTCCCCAAAAACCAACCTAGAAAATAACTACAGAAATCTACCGAGTGTTCATTATTTATTAGTTCAATACATCATATGATCTATAGCATATGTTAGTATTTAAGAGTTAGGAAGTTCAGAGAATGGCTCCTTGTTAGAACTCTCAAAATAAGTTTGAACTGTTAATTTAAACATATCTTTACCTTGTGCAGCAGACGAGATTTGAGATTTCTGTGCACCCTTTAACCCCCAATGTTTTATATAGATCTGCACCTAAAAGGATTAGCATTTTATGAACAAAAGCCAGCCAGTGGACGTCCAAGTTATTTAGGGTAGCATTATCCACCAGTACTCAGACACATTACTTTGCTAGAATTTCTTTTCTCTCTCTCTCTTTGCCATTCTCAGTTCTCATTTTTCTGCCTTACACACACACACACACACACACACACACACACACTTCTTGCAACATGAAATGGAATCGCTCTCAAAAGATCCGGAAAATCACTCCAGCAGGACAGAGGTTGGTATCCAGTTGCTGTGATGTGATTTGAAATATAAACATATGTTTCACTTTAAAAAGAAGTGGGGCGGGGGTGGGGGGGACAGTCGGGGTTTCATGCGGACCTGCAGACTGTGTGTTCATCAGCCCAGCTTCTGTGGCTGAAGGAAAAGGCGTGCCTGCTGTGGGCTCTGTCCTGGACCCTGATTCCAGCAGCCAGAAATAATACAAGACTCTCCAGAGAGGAGGGCTGGAGAACGTCTATCCATCAGATGGGACATGAGTCAAAGGCTTCAAGTCGCATAAGTGGTAGTTAGTTGGGGCAGCTATCAACAGGAAATCAGAAAACTCTCCCCAGAAAAAGCAAACCACTGTAATTGAACTGGAATAAGTGGCAGTTAAAAAGGAAGGAGAAAAACCGTGTGCTCATTTAGGAAGCCTGGAAACCCTTGAAATAGAATAAGGGCGCATGGGAATTAAATAGTCCCTTGGATTTGTGAGGGGCCAGAGCTCTCTTCTCTGCTGTCATTTTTTTTTTCCTTTAGTCTACTTCTTTTAACTCTGGCTCTTCATCCAGATGTGCTGGGGTCTCATGACTACCTCTGTCCCACCCCCTGAGATGAAGGGAGGGGCCTGGAACCTTCCAAACCTGTCATTCCAATGCCTTCTTATTCCCCACGTGGTCAGGCTGTGACCCAGGTGTCATCACCCCTGTGAGAGACAGCAAAAAAATGCTGCTCATTACAATTCTGTGAGTGACTTTTACAACCTGATTGCCATTTATATGAACATATATATGTATATTTACAAACACACACATTTATTCTCAAGCTTTCAAATGAAAAGGACAAAGAAGAAAAATATTTTGAATCTCTTTTAATCTCACTACCTGGGCAAGGAAGCCTGACCAACATTTTTTGGTGTCAACTTCTAGGTTTTCTTGTATAAACCTTATCAAAGCCATCTGACCAAAAATGAAACTGCATAGGAATACATATCTCTTTGACCTAGTATGGAATATTCAATTATTTTTTCAGAGTTTCTTTTTAATATTTTCTTTAAAAACCATCTTCTCAGCAGCTGCTTTAAGAAACAAAACAGGATTCTACTCCTTGGACCTGGAATAAATTAGTCCAAGCCTCTTGAACGCTGGACTGTAGGCAGGGATGTGTCAGAATTACCTGGAAGCTTTAAAGTACTCTGGGCCCCTGGAAATTCTTGTTCAACGGTCTAAGAAAGAGTCTCGAAGTTTGAACTCCCCGTCTGACTGTTCCCCGTGTGTCCAGCTATGGGGCAGGGGACACGTGAGATGCTTTCACACAGCTGAAGTACCGCCCCGCGAGGAGAGATTAGCTTCTGCCTGGCTCCGCGGGGACCGCCGATGAAGTAAGTTCCCGGGAGGCAGGTTTGGGCGCACTAGGAAAGATCTTTGTCACAGGCAAGGCAGTGCAACAATTGGCCTCAGGGAGCCTGCCATGGTGGAATGTGGGCCAGATTCGGATTAGAAGATGCAGGGTTGGATGAAAGATTTACACAGGGTCAATGAGAGGGCTACATCTGTGCACCACCACCTTTCTCCATCAGCATGGGCTCCAATGTGTCACGGGGCTTTCTTCCCATTGAGCCCAGCCGTCTCGGCCAACGGTCCTCAGCATGGAGGGGTCTCTCCTCCTCCCGGGGATACTGGGCAATTTGCAGACTTCTTGCTTGTCACAACTCGGGGAGGCGCTATTGGCATCTGGCGCTGCCAGACGTTGTATGTTACACAGGACCCCCCCGCAGCAGAGACCCGCCCAGCCCAGAATGCCAGCAGGGCCCAGGCTGAGAACCCTGGTCTCGGCGACAGACTGGAGTTGTCATGCAGGTAAATTCTAGTTGCCCTCCTGTGTATACCACCTCCCAGCAAGTGGTCCCTGCCTCCTCTGCCTCAGGGACCTCACGTATGAGACGGGTGGTTCGCACGAACGCATGTCAGGTTCAGAGCTGCGGCCTCACAGCGCCCCGACGCCATGGCCCCTGGCTTTGTCTGGCTTCTCCCAGGGGCAGACCCAGTGACAAGCATTTCCGAGAGTGTATTTTATTTCAGCAAGTGAGGAAGAGAGAATGATCCAGGGAAAGGGCAGCCGCCAGCAAAGGGAGTTAAATGAAGTCAGGGGGTGATTAAAATCTTAAACCTGTGGGGGAGGGCTGGGAAACGAGGCGAAATACTCAGCTCGGAATTATTCCGCTGCAGGTGCACAGGGCTTCTGGCGTGTCTGCACATCAGCACATCAGCACAGATGCAGAGACCAGCAGCGGGCGCACTCGGGGGTGTCCGAGAGGCGAGTGAGACAGTGCCCTTCCTTTTCACAAGGGTAAGGGGTAAGTGTTATGTATCTGAAAGGATTTGGCACAGTGTCTGCTGTCTAGGAGGTCACTCGTAAGTCCACGTCTCGTGTTCAATTGTATGGTTCAAGCAGTGAGTAGACTAGGTTGGGCTCCTGGGAAGGGGGGTCGTTCAGCGAATCAAATGGAAAAGCTAGGCATCGGGGCTTGAGACACAAAGGGCCTAGGGCTGCTCTGGTCCCCGATGGTCAGCCGCAGGAGTTCACGGGCCTTCTCTTTGAGCAGAGCTGTGGGGAGCCCCCACCACAGCCACCTTCCGCCTCGTGTACCTGTGCTTGAGTGTCAAGATCTGGGGGAAACGGTTCTCATGGGTCTCACTTGGTCATTTGCTCTGCCTGGTAGTCAGCTGGTCGGTGTGAGAGAAGCACCCCTCCCAGTCGTGAGGGGTGGGGCCCACAAGCAAGACTGGTGTGTGGCCCTCCTCCCCTCTCTGGCCACCCTGTGCGTACACACTTTCTTATTTTCATAAATACAACTTCAAAATGGGGGCCCATCCTCTCTGCAATAAAAGACAACCTAAGTCTTGTTGGTTATTCCCTCTGGAGGGAGTGGTGCCATTCCTCTCCAAGCTGAAACCTCTAGACAGTGGCCATTTCTTCCTTCGTTCCATGCTTCTCCCTCAACAGGCAGGCGTTC